ACAATGCCCTTCGTAAATGAGTGACCACTCTTTCAGAGCCTATACGCAGAGTGTTCGACGAGAAACTCGACAAACTTCACTCATACGTTCAGCAAGTCGTTCAGAGAAAAAGATGTCGTATACACTGTAGATCTAATTCTACAGTGAAACAATAATTCCAACGTATTTACTTTAATCTATCTTTGACGTACAGATTATTCAATTGACAGATTATGTTCGGAATCCGATTCTCTCGAACTTCTAAAGACGTTTTGGAGAGTAGAGTGGTATGGAACTGTGCGATCGGGACACCTTTGCTGATACTTAGCTACCACAGCTCTACTATTAACTTTGGAGAAACCTTACGTGAATATCATATCGGTGTATTCTGCATTTGAGAGAGTAGAGAAAAGCGGAGCAATTCCGGCCACTTTAATTTCTTGAAATAAAAAACGCGTGATTTGACTCTGTACGATACTTCTACGACTATAGCAGTGTTTTATTTGAAACAAATCCCCGAGTGTTCATTTTGCAACGTAACCTTACAACAGTGGGCAATTCTTAAGCGAGGTAAGTTAGTACTTGGAATCGATATAAATTGTTAATATTAATCTCATTAAATAGAGAAATGTTTCTACTTCCCAACTCGTGTTTGGTTTTTCGCGATATGTGAATTCAATTCAGTGTGTTACTTCAAATATCTGAACATGAGGTGTGGGGTAATTAATTCCAGCTAGCTTTGAACATTGCAAAGAATTAAAAAAGGTAGCTTATATTTACATTACATTCATAGTAATTGTCATTTTCATCATATTTACATTATTTCAAGCTACAATTTTCCAAATTAAAATATTCTGAAAAAATTGGAAGAAAACCAAGGAATCCAGTTAGCAGAAAAAGTGAAACCATTGCAAACTACTGTTTTGATTTTAACACCAAAAGTAATAAAATTTCTGTATTAATTTAACACACTGTCAAACCAACTCTAAAACGCAGACTGAATACCATGCACAAACTTTCATCATTAGGAGCCGCTTACCTCTGCTCTCGAAGCTAGCATAAAAAATGCTTAATCTCGATAACTAAAGGAATTAGACCTACAGTGTACATGACATTTTTTACTCAGAATCACCTGCCGGATACGTAGTCGAAGTTTGTTCAATTCCTCATCGGACACCCTGTATACGTCCCTCGTAGCGAAAGAGTTAAAGGTTGTAGAGTTTCGTGGCTACGGCAAGCAGTGCACGGCGACTTCATAGCGACCGGTCGATAGTGTTAAACGTCACAAACCAATTTAACGAAATTTACGTGTAACCTAAGTTCTGAAAAAAATATTCGAGTGAGATTCAAGGACGCGAGAAGGAACTGGGCCAGGATTGCGCAAGTTTATGTCGCGCGATCCTCTTTAGACTCGATAATCGGGCGGTTCGCAATAGCCAGGCTGTCATCAACATTGTAAGGGTAGGAAAGTTGCACATGCGCGGCGATAGAACGCAAGCAAAACGGGCTTGGTAACAACGCAGTTGTAACGGTAACCCTCGTAGTGTCGTTCAGCTCTATCGCGAGGTTATAATTGATCCTCGACTGGGGTTATCGATAGTTATCGTTGCTGTAAAGAAGTTGTCGCTGGAAACAGAAACGCTGAAGAATTGCGTTTAAGTTGGATCGAGGTTTACGACAAGTTGTTCAGGATGTCTCGGCGAATTGCGGGAATAAAAATGACGGGGGATGTTTTTCGATATATCGTTTACTCTGATTTCGATAATTCGAACTGAACAGTTTCGTACCGACAGAAGAACTGTCTACGGTGTCCTGGCGTATTTCGGAATGGAAAATTTCGTCGTGAAGCTATATGATTTGTAATAAATTTGAAAGTAAAATTGAAAGTTCACCTTGAAGATAAGGATACACCATTGCGAATGTACCACTGCAGTGGAGTATTATACAATTTTTAACAAACTTCTTCGCTGAACTACTTGCTCGGAACTCGGCAACAGAAGCCAAATTGGAACACTCTGGTTACGATGAATACTAGAGGAAAGATGACAAGGAACTCATCCACTCGATACACAAATCTCTAGTTTAACAAGTCTTTCGCTCTAAATTCATTAATCCCGACCAAGAAGTTGTGTCGAGAATTAAATTATTCTTTAACGTTGCTTAAACAAATGCAAGAAGAAAGGTATCAAAGAGCTTAAATATCTACTCCGAGTTCCATAACTGAGAGCAAAAAATTACCCAAAAATTCTCAATAAAAATTCCTCCAATCTACAAGTAACTGATAACAGCTACATAAATTCCTACGATTACTTCATTAATAAGGAAAGCAAATACACGAAAAATTTAACGAAGAATTCATTTAACCGAAACTTCATCGAAGAATACAATCAAATGCTTAGAATGCAGGTTTAAATATCAATGAAATTGCAATTGGCTCATCGACTACTTGCAAAGCTCCGTAGTAAGCTGTGAACTTGACATCTAGAAAGAAGGTCAGCCTTGCAGCGACGTAATATCGCATTGAGCGATTGTCATCTAAAAGTCGACGGAAACTTGTAACTTGAACGCGTGTAGAGCTCGGTATAGTGAGCTTCACAAACAGCGAACCGTGAAATAGAATGGTGACACTTTCTCTACTCTACGTATGCAAATTAGAGAATCGAATGCAATAAAACGTGCAGTGAGGTGAACACAATGTGAACGTGTGTACATTCAGCTGAAAGCGTGTGTAAGAGGCAAAGGAACGAAGAAGAAATGTGAAAAAAGAAACGAGTAGTTATCATATCGAAGTAGAGGGAAATTACGCGAGACGATGAAACGCAAGGAACGAAAAAAACCGAGAAATACGTCGATACAATCAAAACAACTAGGAGCTCGTGGTGTCTCTATAGACATGGAAACATCCTGGGCGGCACAAGAGCTGACATCCATCGATTCCAATTTGAATAACATGGTACTGCCTCAGAGCATTCTTTTATTTCGAATGGTTCTTGAAGGATATCGAACGGCATTGTGTAGCTTACTATTGTCAGCTTCCTTTTTAGAATTATATTTGCCAGAAATATAATGGTTCGTTCGTTTTTTTTATTTCACATTGTGTAACATTATTTGCCACGCTGTTTTATCACGCTTAACCCTTTGATGTCTAAATTTACTTTCGCTGTTTCAGCCAATCTGTGCTTATTTGGACGAAGTTTGCTTTTAATTTAATATTTCAGCGTCTAACTAATTTAAAAATTGAATAGTAATTAAGGGTAAATTAAGAGCTAATTTAAATATTTTTTCGAGAACTGCGTTACACGTGAATTTCTTGAAAATCTGTGAATAACACTTGGGGATGATTTGTTGTTGGTAAAATCAGAGCCAACTCGACTTTGAAGAAAAAAGGAAAAACCTGGGGATGTTCTCTTGTTGGTAAAATCAGAGCCAAATGGACTTTCGAAAGGAGAAAGAAATTATTTAAAAGAGAAGTCCATCGTAATTGACCATTCGCGGTTGCATATTTGGTCGAAACGTGGAAGACACCAGAATATCACCGCTCTGACACACATAACCATGTATAGAGATGAATGCACGCGTTTATCGGTATTTCTTTTGCTTTCCAAAACTGTGCTCGAGTGCCGTTTATGTAGCCTTTATGCGATCCTCGACGCAACCAATTTCTCCTTTCCTGTTCCTCGATATTTCTGATATACAGCGGGTCGAATAAGTCTCTCTGGTACCTAACTTTCGAGCTTTATTATCGGGTTATCGCAGATGAAACGACCGAAGTATCAATGAAACTGTCCACATCTGTAGTTTCGGTAAGAATGATACTTGAGCCACTCAGAAGCCAAAATGATTAACCCCGCTTTTTGATATTCTGCCAATTTTATTCTTCATAAATGAAAAGAATTTCAGGAATTTTATTTCGTGGAGTTAAGCACTTTGGATTCGTTTATTAATCAGAGATGATCCAATACGCTTTGAGCATCGAACAAGGTTGTCTTGTAACGAGTCACACTTGTGAAACAGATTCTAATCAAAATTACTCTATTTCCTTGTATATCTTTAAAACTACTTGTCTCCGAAAAGTGCAATTTCGTTTAATAATTTTTTTCACTTTCCATATTGCGCTGTCTTTTCTATTTTATGGTGAAAATGTAAGTTACAGAATCATAAATCAATGAGAAACTTTTTTCCGTACACCTATGTAGGAAATAATAAGAAAAAATAAAATTGGTCATTTTTAGCACAAGTTGAGAAAAATGTGAGCGTTAAATCATTGTGTATTTGTAGAACCTCTTGTATATTTTTATCGTACGTATTTGTATTTATTATATATCTGACAATGAATTTATCTGCATTTATTCTACATATTTTTTCACGTGACAGAGAATCCAAAATTTTTCGCAACAGCGGTGGTGGAAGATTGTCTATTTAAACAGAAAAATTTTATTAATTTAATAGCATCGTCTTATAAGGCATAAAAATTGCTAAATGTTTATTATAACCATTTTTGTTACACCTACTATAATTTTGAAGATATACAGAGAAATAGGGTACCATTTATCTCCATTCAAGGGCTGTTTTCACCCTAAAGAATTGAAGAGCCAAAAAGATTGCTCAATATTTCTTTTGAGGTCCCCTACAAACCTGCAAAGTTTCAAAAAAATAAGAATTTTCGGGTTACCGAAGTTTCCCTGTAAGTCCCAGTGTCCAAAGTTGACAAAGTTCGGTTGGAGATTTATGTGGACCAGTCGTCTGCGATACAGTTGAAATCCAAGTGCAGCAGCCAACTAGTCTCACCAAATCCGAGTTCGAAGTCTGATCACAACTCTCAAAGGGATCTCTAAGGGGATCTTTAAAGGAATCTCTATTATTCTAACTGTCCTGTCTGTTAGATAGCACGGACGAGCTGAGCCATACCCTACCATAAAGCAACAGAACAGATTAACATCATGAAAAATTCACTATCGTGAAAGAACTATCTCCATAAACCGTCACATCTTCTTCTTTTCCCTGATTTTTCCAACATTTCTCCAGTTTATCAATATTTTCAAAGAAGGGTGCTAAAAATAGGCGAATTTTGGCATTCTTTCACAGCATGATTCTACACGCCCTAAGGAGTAAAAAATGTAATTGTCATTTTTCCAGGAAATGATGGGAAAGTTATGAAAAATGCGGTTAAATAAAAGAGTATAAACGTACTTATAACTTATATTCCGTCTCGTTTTCTTCGGACGATGGTCTGTTCCTAAATGAACCACTTAGAAACTCATCTTGAGTATTATTTACAAAGATAAAAACCAAAAATAATTAATGACAAATTAACCGAAACAAGGAATTCTTTGCTGACACGATGCTTATATTCTAAGCAATCAGAGACCAATTTATTCTCGAAGTGATAAAAGTTATAATAGTAAATATAATAAAATAATCGTCATGACAGGGATACTCCACTAATTTTTTTTCCGGACTTTTTTTACTCGCACGAGAGTTCTCTCAAGAATACGAAACTGCTTCGTGTTTGCAAAGCAACTGTTTATTCGAGTCGTAAATCTCAGAGAGTTGAGCGGTGCTCTCGGACAGTCACTCTCAGACGCAGTGTCCACTCGCGAGAGGTACTCTCGAGAGCAGCTCGCGATAGTTTCACTCTGAAAAGGACAGCTAGGTTTACGTTTGGCTCGATGTACGTACGGCGACCCAGGCTCGCGTTTCTTATGTTTGGCTCGCAAGTAATATCACGAGTTCTAAGAAGTTAAGACCTAGAATTGTTCCCAGAACAGTTGCGAGCGTACAGCGATTAGAAATCGGGCAGGACGACTCGTCCTCAGTCGGTGTTTACGCGGCAGCCGAACGAGTGCCTCGAGGAACGTCGCTTATACTGTGCGATTATAGTCTTGTAGGGAATACATCGAACAACGCGTTTTCGATTATACGCGGATTTCCAAACAGTTTACGTACTTAGCATATTCGTTCGTGTGAATTAAGTGCCGCTGCATACAAGAAGCTAGTGCACCGAATCCAAGTACACGACGAACAGCTCAGCTTGGGAGAAAAATCTCTTATAATTCACTTATAAATTCATTTTGTTGTTAGGAGAAGAAATTAATAGAAAACAATTGAATCTGGACAATTGTTTCTATAAAAGCTAACGATGCATCAGCTAAACGTAATTCGTCTTCCACGCACAGTTTGCTGGTTAGCTGAAGTACGTAGCTACATTGAGGTGACGATGTAATTATTTGACGTAACTTGTCCCTTGCGAGCCAGTAAACTTCGTTTTCTCCATGTGTTGCAACCATTTACCTGCGGCGGCAGCAACGTGTAATTCTACCTGTTCTTAAAATACAATGTATACTTGCAGCTATTCTGTGCTCACATTAGTGTAAATTATTGCTCTGCTTTTGCTACCTGTTTAATTTTCTTATTCCTAATTTTCCGTATCTTAATTTTCGTATTTTTAATTTTCCTTATCTCAATTTTCTTAATTTTACCTTTTTTTACCTTAATTTTCTTATTTTCAGTTTTCCTTATCTCAATTTTCTTCTTTCTCTCTCATTTCTTTTCTTATTTAATATCGTTTGTTTAATGGCGCTTTACAATTACATGCACAGCACCTGACGAATTTTAAATATACTTTTTCAATAATTGTTCATTGTTTATTTAATTAATTAACACCAAGCTGATAAACAGTATATCGAAAATATTTTGAAGCTGAAAGATTTCCAATTAGACGGACACATTTTTGTTTAACGTAACAATGCAGAATTTTACGTGTCTACGCAGTATTTCGTGCAATTTTCCAAAAGTTCCCCGTTCAAAATCATTCCTGTGAACACAAACATCAGTCACTCCCTTAATATCTTCAACATCCTCGTTACATCAATCTTTTTATTACCACATTCCTCGTGAACAGAGTTTTTCTCGAATGAAACCTGTAAAAGGAAAATTCGTGAGAATGCACCTTTTCTTAAGAAAATCATAATCATGAAAATTCATTAAGATGACACGAACTAAAGTGCCAGGGAAAATTGTCGAAAATTCACATCTGTCCTCGGTTGTTCCATTTAAAAACGACGTTTTGTACACAAAACACTTCTGGATTCCGTGCATCACGAAACCACCTGTATTTATCAATGTTTCCATTTAAAAATGTCTCCATTTTCACGTTTCTTTCACCGGTTCGAGCTCGAGATATACCAAATTGCAAGACGACGCGCGATCTCTTGCGACACATTTGACGTTGACCTCCTTTCCTCCATTCCTTCTTCTTTCTTTAATGTATGTACTTACTTGCAATCCTTTCCCTTGGCCCACCTGTTTCTCTTTGCCCGCCTCTTCTCCCCACGTTTCAATGGACTGGGACACGGCAATCTAGAGTCTTATTTAAGGGCAAGGTGAACGTACTCGTTCGATGCGTGAGATCCTCCGTTCCACCTAAGTACAGTCGAGCGAGCTATTTTCGAAAAGAAAAGTTTATCGCCGAATTTTCGAGCATCTGTTTACGATTTTGTTGCACGTTTGGTGGGGTTACTGTGTTTTTGATGCACTACGGATGAATGACGCTTGATATTAATGAGAAATTCGCGAAACGCTCACTGCTGCCAGCGTTTCTTACCACCCAAGTGTGTATTATCTGCGGATTTTTATGCAAATTCATATTTTCGAGAATATACGTACTTCTTCGGAGGGATAAGTCGTCAGTTGCCCAATTAATGGAAAAAAGTAATTCAAAATAATGGAGATCATTGTTGCCTCGCAAGAAATCGCGACGAACCCTCGGTTTGGCGGATCATCGTCATAAACTTGTTCAATTACACTTGGCCGCCAGACCGAGGTACCGGTCCTCTCGCGCGTACCGTACCCCCCGTGGAGAGGTCGCGTGCGCGGTGGAAAGTCACGCGGCAACCCCTGGGAAAAACCCCAAAAAGGGGGTTTTCTAATGTTAAGCAACAATCCCCTTCCCTT